CACTCAGACTTTAACTACTTAATCTCACCTCCACTTAACTTACTCAGATGTTAAGTGAGATGTTAATCTCATCTCTACTTATCTCAAAGTATACTGAAGATCCCTATAAAGTTCCATGGTGAATTTCTACCCAACTCAGTGTTGCCATGCGGATCTATTTGATCAGTGATAAACAGTTGCTGAGCACGAGTCCGACACGGTGGATTTTCCAGTTGCTTTGTGCTCTATGCACATAGAGTTAGATGCTGACATGGAAGGTTTTTATGGCTGTAACTTTCCCAGACAAATACGTGACAGCATGACCTGAAATGCAGGGATTCAGGTTCTAGTCAAAAACAATAAACTTCCCACCAATATCTGGAAACATTTTTACCAACCAGAGACTGAGTACACTGTCCAGAGCTTTTCTGACATAAAATCTAGCTCACTCAATAGTATAAAAAGTCAACGGGCCGGCCAAATAGCTCAGCAGATTAAAGCACCTACAAGCAGGCACAGGGGCCAGAGTTCAACCCCCCAGGGCGCACTGAGACAGCAATTGAGACTGTGGTGTGCCTGTAATCCCAGCTCTTGGGAGGCTGTAAACAGGCGGATCACTATGAGTCCAATCTAGTAGCGAGACCCTGAACACCCTGTAGACCCTTCCCTAAAATACCAAAACAAAACAAAACTGCCAAGCGGGCAGTTATTCCTTCGATTTCCTGGAAGGAAATGAACCCAGAACACCATATCTGTTCTCGTAAGTGTAGTCTGTTCCTCTCAAAAACAAACGAACAAAAAAAAAACCTAGTTCTACAATATTATAAAAGGACCAAAGAGCCTTCAAAAGGTCTCCAGGTATATAACATTTGTCAGTAGATGAGAAAACCATTCTGTCCTATATTGTGAAGCTATCATCATGTATTAGTTTTTCACTATGTAAGCTGGAAAACTGGCAGATTATTTTTTTGAGTTTTTGGGGAGTATTCAGCACTTTCCCTCACGTGAAAGATAATAAAATCTAAATCCAGACATGTTAAGACATTTGTCCAAAGTCCAATCTCTGGTAAATGGAAGCATCTGGCTGTGATTTCAACCCAGGTCATTTTGTCTCTTGAGAATCAGATTACAGCAAAAATACAAAAATATTCTAGCAAATCAGAGACATCAGACTATTTCAAGGGTATTCTCATTAGTCTATAAATTCTATATGTAGAACATAGTATAGAATTTTAAAATTACTTAATAGTGTTTTGTAAATATACTTTGCTTTATAAAAGTCTAAAGTAAGGCCATAACTTGATGTATTAAAAAATATGAGAAACAAATTCCTAGTGATTTCTATTCATTTAAAAAGTATTTTCACACTACTGAATGGACAGATAAAATCAAAATGTATCAAAAACCTAAATATTAAAACAGACACTAAATCTGCTAGAAAAGAGAAGAGGGAGAACTCTCAAAGACATTGGTGTAAGCAAAGACTTTATGAACAAAACCCCAATCATATAGGAACTATCATAAAGAATCAACAACAGGCATCTCATCTTATTAAAAAGCTTTTGCACATCAAGAGAAACCACCAACAAAGTGGAGCGAGAATGTACACACTGGGAAAAAACCTTCTGCCAGCTATTTTTCAGACAAAAGAGGGTTACTAGTGAGAACATATAAAGTACTCAAAAAAAATTGACACCCCCCCCCAAATTTAAAGATCCAATCCCAAATAGGCATCTGAGATGAATATACTCTTCCCAGATGAAGAAGTAGAAACAGCAATGAAATATATAAAAAAAGTTCAATACTGGTCATTCGAAAAATGCAAATGAAAACAACACTGAGATTCCATCTTACCCCAGAAAGAATGACTATCATCAAAAAATCAATCAAGGCTGGGGAGACAGGTTGGTGGTCTAAGTGCCTGCCTGGCAAGCACAAGGACCGGGCCAGCTCAGCACTGAGCTGGCCACTGAAACTGGGCATGGTGGCACATACCTGTAATCCCACTGTTGGGGAGGTGAAACTGGGTATGGTGGCTCATACCTGTAATCCCACTGCTGGGGAGGTGAAACTGGGTATGGTGCACACAACTATAATCTCACTGCTGGGGAGGCTGCGACAGGAGGATCACTATGAGTCTTAGCTGCAAAGTGAGACCCTGTCAGTGAATTGTAGACTGGTGCAACCACTGTGGAAAATCAGTGTGCAGACTCCTCAAAATATTAGGACTAGAGGCTCCATTTGACCTAGCTAGCCCCCTCCTTGGTATCTTCCTGAAAGAGCCTCATACCACAGCAATACATGCACACGCATGTTTATAGCAGTAGTTCATAACAGCCAAATCTTGGAAACAGATCAAATGCCCATCAACTGATGAATGGATAAAGAAGACATAGTGTTTTTTTTTTTTTTTTTTTTTTTTTTAAATATGAGAGGACTACTCTGTCATAAAGGATACCCCTGAGACATTTCTATGAAAATGGATACTCTCTGAGGCCATACTCTTAGTAAGTGAAATTGCACATATATGTAAATGGTATATTGTTTCTATGGTGTGAGAAATTGAAAATGTAAATAAGGACTAGAATATATAACAGGCATTGCAAAATAAGAAAATGTTAAATGTTAAATGTCAAAATAGGGAGGAAAGCAAGGAAGGGGAGTGGGAGAGAAGCAGGGAAAAGTAAAAAAATGAGAAAAGAATGGAAACAAAGCTTTTGTAAATGGGAAGGGCTAAAGGCAAGGTTGGGGAATGGGGAAAAAAAGAATCAAGTTATATCATGTACAGGTACAAATTCTCTATGATGAATGTGATTCAAAATGTACCAATGAAATCTGATTTTAAAGAAGTATTTTTCTGTTTATTTACCTGAGAAACGATTTTTTTCTTGTCATTTAAAAAGTATTTTCTACTGAGAAAAATGCAGAACTTTCCTTTTAAAATTGAAACAAAGGCAGTGAGATGAATATGAGTGATAGCAGCCAATACTCCTGAGCATTTATTATGTCCTCGGCCAGTGATGGCGAACCTTCTAGCACTATCAATGATACCATGCTGGCTGTGGCACGTGGTCCACCACTGTGCTAGGCCCTGAGCTAAGAGCTCTCTATGTAATATCTCAATCAATTTCCGTAACATGACTATGAAGTAGGTGGCATTATTCTTATGCTAATGATAAAATAATGAAAGTTATCTAGATCATAGAGCTATTGAAAGCCCAATGCCTTTAGCTACTCCCCTATACATCTTTTATCAGGACTTAATTTTGCTGACTGTGGGTTAAAAATAATTCTGCATATAGTTACACACAGGTAATTATAAATATCTAGTATAACATTTTTTAGGTTTTAAAAATCTTTTATTTATTTGGTACAGAGTCTAACTATGCAGCTCAGACTTGTAGTGATCCTACTGTCTCAGCCCCCCAGCACTGGGATTACAGCTGCACGCCATTGTACCCAGTTCTGCTGGCTGTCATGGTATGCTGGGTTCTGGGGCCAGCCTAGCATGCAGTACCAGGGATTGAACCTGGGTCCTTGCTGTTGCCAGGCAGGCACTTTGACTAACAAGCTATCTCCCCAACCCCTCTAGTCCAAAGTTTCTAAGTAACAAAAGAACAAAATACAACCTTAAAATATCACTCTCCAAATTCCAGCTGTTAGCTAAACACAAGACAGTTTCTTTGACTGATTTAAGAGGGATTACTTGTCAGACAATATGTCCCTCTCTCATTTAATCATTTTCAAAGAGACTTCACTAATATGTTTAGAAACTTACTGCTTTAGATACTGTATGAACAGCAATTCCAGCTGTTAACAGCTGTTTAGTTGAGGCTGGTATATAGCTGTACACAATCATGTTTTCAAGGAATATGACTTGACTTCACAAAGTAAAACAATTTCCCCTTCCCTTGAGGCTGCAGTTTTAAAAATAACTAAAAAAAGAAGCCAAGGAAACTCAACAGCAGCATATGAGATGAAAGCATTCAGTGAGCACAAGCACTTGAAAAGCTTGTCTCTCATCCAAGTTAGACACAAGCTTGGCCACAGATATCAGTGAACAAAAGCCTGACTCTGCATGGCTTCTCAGTATATCCCACTTGTTCTGCAAAATAGTTCATGGAATCCATAAAACGCCAACTGTGTATAAATTAACAGAATTACTATGAGGTACTTTATTATAATAATTCAGAAATTAAAAGAGTAAAACAATCTGATTGACCACACATCCTCCTTCACAACTAACCAAACCAAAGAGTTTTAATATTTTGAGGTTTTGAAAATAAAAGCAGTGTAAACATAGCAAAACAATTACTTCAGAGGCTGCAGTAACTAGGGACAAGTTCACTACAATGGGAGGTAGAAAACAAGTTAGTGGTTCATAGTTTCTCTAAATAGCTGAGCAAAGTAATGGTATCTACCAGCTTTTGCTGTGGCCTATATTTTCAACAAAACAGTAACAGTGTGGAAATTAATACAAAACATTTAACAGCATTAAGTGAATTAATGTTGGCATTTAGTTTCTTGGGATAGAAGCTACTTAAAAAATAACCCCTGGACAAGGTGGCACATACTTATAATCCCAGCATTTGGGAGGCTGAGGCTGAGTTTGAGGCCAGGCTGCGTAACGTAAGTGAATTCAAAGTCGGCCTGGACTACATAGTTAGACCATCTCCAAACAATCAAAATAACAAACAACCACTGTGATGATCCTCAGACTATCCCTTGGGTACCTCCGAATATCCTTGCAGAAACGAGCCCAACTCACAAATACTCTTAAGTATCACGATCCTTCTTGTAAGTCTATGCCAAGAAGCATACAACTCAGTCTAAAGGTTATAACTTGAACTTTTCATATAAAGCTAATGTAGTATAATTTCAAAAACCAGTATTGTTAGTGACTTCACAGATTATAATTATGAGAATATTTATCTTTTAACCATTGACTTGGTAATTCATTCTTTTTTATTTTTTAGTTAACAAAGGAACAAAAAGAAAAGAGAACAGCTACGAGGACTTACGTTTTGGCGGTGACATCTACATACTGTCCCGGACGAAAGTGAGCAGCATAAAGAGGGGTGCCTTTATGAGAAGAAAAGGAAAGTCTGTATGACATTCATCATCAGAGAAATAACTTTATTAAACAAAAAATATATCACATAACCCTTCTAGTTAGCAGATTTCAAAAAATAGGAGATTATCTACTTTAATTATAATAAACATTAGAAATACCCAAACAATGAAATTATTCAACAAACATGCTTTTAGTTGACTATGTGTAGGGCAAAGGAAGAGCCCTGTAGAAGGTACAGAGTGCTGGACAGATCAGACCAGGGCTAATGGGCCAGCACTTTCCTGGGGACCAAGTGGTGCTGGTCAAAGTGAATCATTCCTGCGACAACACACTATTCCTGCTGGTAAGAATCCAACCTTGGTAAGTGTTGGTTAGTTTGCTAAGTATACTAAATTTAAAAATATATGACATATAATGGTATAGTAATCTCTCCCATATAATTCTCAATTGAGAGAGTCTAATTTTCTTCACTTAACAAAATTCCGGTCTACAAACAATGAACTCAAACTTTAAAAGTACACTTACAACGGCTTTTTCAAATGCGAAACTCTATATTAAAAACAAAAGTGGTTCCTCCCTTTTTTCATAGAAAACAAAGACTCCTTTACAGCTTTTTCCACTTAAAAGACACAAAGACTTGTTTGTTCTTAGTGATTAAAACAGTTACAGTTTTCTACTTAAAAATAAGCACCTGTATTTGGCACTTTGTACTTTGGATTCAGTTTTATTACTGAAAGGGGTGGCATTAAGCAAATCACATATTTGGATATTTTTACCTCTCTCTGTTCCCTGACCTCAGATTACCTGGCTTAATTACAGCATTATCTGTTACATGAAAGATTTTAATGTTCTGTTTTGGGGGCAATCCAAGTTCTCGGTAAAATTCCAACACAGGTTCAGATTTCTAAAAAAAAAAAAAAAAAAAAAATCAGTACATATAAGTAACACATTAAATATTGGAAGTGAAATTGAATGTTCAGAAATCTAAACCAAGTTATTCACACACCAGTAAAGCACACTCCATTCATTTACTGTACAAAGGGCATCAACTTGCCTGAAAGGTGATAAGATTTATAGTTATAATCAATTACATTTCTATGAAAAAATAACCTTAGTACTGAGGATCTCACCATGTGGACAATGAGTGGGGAAAGGGCTTTGTTCTCTAAGGAAGGAGGTAGAGGTGTGCTCTGCTCAGATCTGAGTTTTCATCATACTGTATCAAGAACCCCAGCCCTAGAGGCCAGGGAGATAGCTCAATAGAATAAGCGCTTACCTGGCAAGCACAAGGACCTGAGTTCAATTCTCGGTTCCGCAAAAGAAAAAAAGAAAAAAAGAAAGAAAAGAAGAAGTGGAGCCTGGGCCTGAGCTTTTAAGAACCCCAGCCCAAGAAATCAATAATACACTTTCTCTGCACCTGCATTAAAGCAGCTGGAAGAAAATACTATGGATCACACTTAAGTCTCATCACCACATACTTCAACATGAGTTCCAAATGTAGCCTCACCTACTGCATTTCCTTGGTTAGATGTTTCTCACACTCTTGAAGGCAACTATGTCACATTCTGTGCTGAGCCCCTAGTACTCTGCCGCAGGGAAGAGAAATTGCCCATATTCTTACCACTAAACAAGGCACCTGCCCGACTCAGCCCTCATGCACAGCCATCACTCAACCACCTCCTCATGAAAAGATGCACATGGCGAGTTTTTAGGACATACCAGCGCCTCGAGCCTCCGCTTAGAGACTCCAACTTCACTGCTCTAGGGAGGGGGACAAGCATCAGTATTTTTTTTTTTTTAAAACCTCATATGACTCTGTTAAGCTGTGGGCCACACTGAAAGATAAACTGTCCCTGCTCTTCTAAGAACTCACTCTAACCTCCTCACCTATTCAATGCTTTCCCTCCTGAAAATGCCCACTTTCTTCTCATTTTCTCCTATTCTACTGGAAGTTTCACTAAGTATGTGAACATGTTCCAAGCTTTTCCTTCACCATACACTTTTTTTTTTGGTGGAACTGAGGATTGAACTCAGGCCCTTGGCAAGTGCTTATTCTACTGAGCCATCTCCCCAGGCCCACCATATACTCTTTAGCTAAGTTTTGTTTTTCTTTTACAGTGATGCTCCTCAAGAAATTTGATGAGTCTACGAGCTCTCCACCCATTCTCTGGACTCGCTTTAATCATGAGCTTTGAGCCCCTAACATGCGACAAGCAAGTGCTGTGGAGAGTAACCCGTGATCTCCACACAGTCAGATACACTGACCAGTAACCATTCTATTGCATCTGTCTGCAATGCTTGACACAGGTAACTATTCTCTCCTTGAAAGACTCTCATTTGGCATCTGGTCACTACTCAATTTTCACACACATATTGTGAATGACTTCCTATTCCTAATTTCCATGCCAAATTCTACTCCGGATAATTCATTATACTCCAATTCATTATACTCATACCATTCTACTCCAATTCATTATACTCATACCAACATCATACAACAACTCAAGCTTAACAGTCTATAACTGACTCAACTTCCTCCCAAACCTGCTCTTTTGTACCTCAATAAATGGCAACTTCTATTGTTTGTGCCAAAAACACTGGTTATCTGTGACTCTTCACTACCCATTTATCATTCATCAGCAAGTCCTACAAATTCTTTCAAAATACAGCCAACAGCAACCTTTTCTCACCATCCTACCCCACTCCACCTCATAACCTTTGCCTGGATTATTTTCTGTGAACTGGTCCAAGCCTCTACGCTCCTAGTCCATTCTCAATTTATAGGCTGCTATGATCATATTAAAACTCAAGCTATACCATGTTTCTATGGAGTCTTCTATATCAAGTAAAATCTAGCTTCAAATCCGTGGTTTACAAGGTTCCAGACCGCCTGACCTCGTCGTCTTCTGCTCTCAGATAAAATGTCCTCCCTACTCATGTAAGAACATAATAAACATCACCCTCAGGTTCCTTACATGTACTATTTCCTTTGCCTGCTGGGCTTTTCTGCCAGATTTTTGGACAACCTGCTTCTTTACTTTCTCAGGTCTCCACCTAAATATCAACTTACCTTTCCTATCTAAAATCATACTTTTGTCACTCGCTACCCCCTCAGCCTTTTATTACTTTTCAAGGCATTTATCCCCATCCACGGTGATATACGCATCTTACTGATACACCCACCTCCCAACTCCCCCCTCAGATGCGCCAGAAGGTAATGATACTGAAGGCACTGTCCTGTTTAGCTCCTGCTACATCCACATTTCTGTTAGGTCTTACTGGCTGCTCTCCTCACCCCCACCTTTTTTCCTGCTACTATAAATATCACTGTAATCAACATTCTTGAAAATAAAACTATAGATATCTACTTATAATATTCTGGTTACCACTCACATGAATTTTTTAAAGACTTGGAACAGACTTCTATAGAGTTTCCAAAAAAGTTCTTTCATTTTGTGTTTCTTCATGTGAATAGTACGTTTCATCAGACTATAACCAACACAGGAATACCTGTCTTCCTCCTGTTTCCTGCTCCCAACTTTCCTGTTAACCATAAACAAAGCAGATGCAGGCCAGTAATAAGCCATGCTGCTCAATGCTTGCATACCTGTGTCTGTCTACACCATTCCTGCCTTGCAACTACCTTGCCACCCTACACCTGCACAGCTCATAAAAATTCTTCAAAAGTTTCTAGTTCTGGCTCCAGCTAAATTTACTGTACAGATTCCTTCCCAAACAGTCTCACCACAGCATACTGCTCTTTATACATGCTGCATATTTTAATTATTATCTTTCTGATCTCACACTTATGATCTCATACCTACTTACAGGTCCACCTGGGTATGAAGCCTGTCTCTCCAAACTACTCTGCTTTATTTATCTGCAGTACTGGGCACTGAATCCAGCACCTTGCACAGGCTAGAAAAGCACCTTATCACTGAGTTACTTTCCCAGTTCTTCCTTCACATTTTATTTTCAGATGGGATCTCACTATTCTACCCAAGCCACTAGCCTCAAACTTGCAATCCTCCTACTTCAGGCTCAAAGCCTCCAACTACTTTCTCAGTACCTTTTCCTTTTTAAGTTTTTAAAGAGTACAAAATAGTACTAAAACAGAAAAACTACAAGTGATACAGAATTTCACTTAAAGTAATATGAATTTCACAGTATTTTTGTAAAATTTTTATTACCAGATATATGCATGCAAAATTGGAAGGAAAAAAAAGAAATATATAAAGAATTGAGAGAAAAAGGAGAAACAATTGAAAAAAGGAGATAAAACAAATTAAGCATTATCTGCTCCTTTCCATAGACCAGAAGAAATCCATAGTACAGTTGTCCAAACCATCCTGCTTACATACATAGATAGATGTATCTCTTTCTCCCACTCCCTCTCCTTCAATCTCTTGTACTATCTGTTCTTGGCTTGCATTTTTTCTATATTTGGAGCCAGATAGTGCATGGTCTCTCTCTTCAAGTCTATTTATTATAAATGACAAGTTTAAAATATGTATCTCAACTTAGTCTGATGAACAAATTCACAGGAAGCTAAACTGTTATGAAAACAAAAATATATAGGGGTACTTCAATTTATGAACTTAATTCTTTCCATGATTCTGGCCACAAGCCAAATTGAATGAGGGCCAAATCAAATTCAACAGTTAGGTTCAATGTGGATGTGGACCTTATGGGAAAATTTGATTTGGTTCTCATCCAATTCGATTTGCAACCAAAATCATGGAAAAAAATTAAGTTTGTGAACCAAGGTATCACTGTAATTCATAATACTTTTTTTAAAAAAGCAGTAATAACAGCAGCATAAAAAAGCTATGCACTTATGGTTAGGACAGGAAAGGACCTCCAACAGTTCAGACTTGGTCCCTAATAAGCAAACATGGCGAAGTGAACTTTGGGGGAAGTGACTCCATCATGGCTCTTAGCTCATCGATGAGTTAATTCAACATGACTTCATAATTAAATTAACTACTGGGAGATGATGGGAAACTATTGGAGGTAGGACCTTAGTTTGAGGAAGCAGGTCACTGGGGACAACCCTAGAAGGCACAGATTGTCCTCAGCCCTTCTCCTGCTCTCTCTGCATGCAGTCTGCAGCAATTCTCTACCACATGTTCTCTGACATGTTCAGGAAGTCTCAAATGCAACACAAGGGGATGGAGAGATAGCTCAGTGGAATAAGTGCTTGCCTGGGAAGCACAAAAGCCAGAGTTTGATCCCCAGTACCACGGGAAAAAAAAAAAAAAAAAAAAAAATCTCTCAAATACAATAGAATGTGAAACCCCTGAAACTGTGACCTAAAATAAATCTCTGCTCCTTTATTTTAGGTATTTTGCCTCAGTGACAGAAAGCTAACTAAGACATCAAGCAGCCAAACAGCCAGAGCCAGACATATTTGTAGAATACTATGTGCATCCTCAGTGAACTCACGTTACTTGTTAATTTCAGTTTAAAAGGTAAACTGTTAGTATTCCTTTAAAATCTATTTAGTAAGTTTCTTTAGTTGACCTGAGCTTGGATAGCTCTGGTTTTAAGTACAGAATTTTAATTTTTAGATGAATTTAATCAGGACTAGGAATCTCCCTGGGGCTCGCCTGGGGAGCTGCTCAGCAAGGCCCCACAGCCTGCTGAAGACTATCCTGCACCTCACAAGAATTCTCTCAAGAAGCTACCCTAGCTTCGGGGCCAGGGAGATGGCTCAGTGGAATAAGCGCTTCCCTGACAAGCACAAGGGCCTGAGTTCAATCCCCGGTTCCGCCAAAAAAAAAAGAAGCTACCCTAGCTTCCAAGGGTATTAGCGTAAATGCAACCCAGCTGCTCCCTTTTCCCTTTCCACACCAGAATTATTCCAGCCTCTACTGCTCATTAGTCACAATCATTTCTTCCACAACAGAACAAACACAAAAAATTTCATTTAAAAGTGTGTGGCCCCTTGAAAATTATTCCCCTAATGTATTACGTTCCGACTTACTAAATTTCAGAGCAGACTTCCAATTTTTTCTTGATATTCAAGAAAAAGATAATACCAAGATATTTCTTGATATTCATATTATATTTGATGGTTAAAAAGCATAGTATTTATGTCACTAATATCAGTTTTTGAGTTTGCCAGGAAGCTTCCCAGAAAAATTCCTTACTCTTCTTGGGAAATAAGATGAACATCTCAACTGAACTACTAAAGCAGTAAAAGAACTAAGGTAACACTTCCTAATTATCTTTCAATTTCACTAAAATCGAACACTTTAGTTTGTTTATAATTGTAATATGAGGGAAAAAAAACCCAAAGTACTCAAGCTAAAACCAGAAGCACTACAAGCGTTCATTTTCTTTCTTTCTGAAATGGCCAAATGATTTTAAAAGGCAATTTAAAAGACTGACAGTACTGTCACACTTGGGTAACTCCATCGATGAAGTTGCATTTTTTTCTCCCTCTTCACCGTTCTCTGCAATTATCCTTCACACAATGAGAATGCTTCTCTGTGCCTAAGATAAATTGATTTAATCAACTTTTAGGGCCACTTAGCTTCCTTATTCAAAAACACTATGCACCACAACAGTTTTTATTTACAACATACAAAATTTGCAAAAGTGGACACAGTCTAATTCCATGAAAGCACAAATTCTTTAGATATTAAAAAACAAAAAACAACACAAAACAAAACCAGTTCTAAGCCTCAGTGAATAAAACTGACTTAAGGGCTTGACTATTTGATATTTTAAGTTCATAGCTTTTATTAAAAAAAAAAAAAAAACCTCTATAATCAATCTATTTGCAGTTTCCCTGAGGAGTAAAATATGCAAGAGGAAGTATGTATACTTTTAGCTTAATAAATCTCTTTCCTTTTCAAATGAAAATGCTTTTACTTATAAAGAATTTGGAAACTTAGATCCTAAAGTAAGGTTGCTTTCAAAGTTTTTCCTTAATTCTGTAGAAAAGTCCTCTGGATGCATAAGAGTTGTATCTTGAAGAAATCACAGAATGCTTTTGTAGTGTTTACTACAAAAAAAAAAAAAAAAAAAAAAAAAAAAAAAGCTTTTTAAAGTTTATGTAAGCTGAGTCAAAATCCACTGCAATATGAAAGCATCCAACTCACTCTGCGGTGCTGTATACACATCCAAGTGGATAAGTTACAAAAATTAGTTGAATAGAAAAAACTATGTTGACCACATTCTTCAGTATAAAATTATACTATCACTTCTATCACATTTTAATTACTCTGTGCTACTTGCATTAATATGATTTCAGCCACTATCTACTGATGGAAGAATATTTTTCGTTATTTATAGGACATTTTCTATGAACAGCTCAAACACATTTGTCCTCAAAAGCTTCCCTTCCCTTCTCTCTATCTCAGTTTACAGCACCAGCATCGACTGAGATGCCTGTTTGGAAAACCTCTTCGGCCCACACACCCTATCTCCCCAGTCCCATTTCATACCCTCCTTCTCCTTTTCTAAATCTCTGCCTTTCAATCCAAATACAACTGCCTTCATTCAAAAGGCTTTTATCAGTTCTCTCCTAATTGCTTAAAACTTCCAAAAAGTACTCTTTGAAACCAGATACTTCTAATTTTTGTTAACCAAGGTAACAATTTGCTATTGCCCAAGTTAAAGACTTCAGGAAGCTCCCTGAGATCTACAAGATGACTCCAAATCCCTCACTGTCACCTAGACAGCTGCACCTTCACCACGTTCCCTGCTGGCCCAGACCCACACGGAGAGACAGCCACATCCCCATCATGTTTCTCTTCCCAAGCTCACATGCTCTTCCCCTTGTCTCTGCCCAGACTTCCACCAGCATGACCTTAACATTCATCTTTTCTGGTCTCCTCCCTGTAAAACTTCCTAGGACTTTCTCAAGTAGTTCTGTGCCTACTGGATTTATATTATATCGGGATGGTTAATTTATTTCCTCCTTCTCATTAGCTTGAGAATTTCCAAAAGGTGAACATTAAGAAACTTAAAAAATGAAGGATCTGAAGGCTGTCATTATTATTACCTGTGAGTAATCCTGAGTAAGTTACTTTACTGCTTTATGTCAGAGGCTGAAAAACTTACTCAGGGTAATGAATGTGAAAGTCCTAATGCTCATGTACATGGCAGGTAGTTAAGTACTGAATAAAATTTATAATGAGGCAATGGTAAGCATACAATGAACATTTGGTAGTTCGGGAGATTTTGGTATTTGGTAGTTTTGACAGTTGGACAGTAGGGGTTATATTCTAATTTTAAAATTTTCATTTCATAAACAATTTCCAATGAAAAAAGTTTATTTAGAGATAAGTAAACCTGAAGATACTCTGTTAGCCATTAGTACAAACCATGATTATATCTACAAAGGTTTCTAGCTTTAGTCATACATTAGAGAGTAATAACTAGAGATTTTTCTAATTTCAACCATTCATTCAACATTTTTTGGTACAATATGCTTAGAAAACAGCCCTTAGAAAATTTTCATGTGTGTTCATATATAGCTTTCTCCCCAGTACCAAAAGCTCCTGCTAAAATATATCGAATTAATCTTCATAGGCTGTTGGTGTTAAATACTGAGATAAGTTTTCATAGGAAGAAAGTGGAATGAAACAATTACCAGCTCCGTTGTCTGTTACATTACACAAACATTAGAAAAACTTCTTTTAACACATTCACAATAGGGTTGTGATTTGTCTAGCTGCTGGGGAGCTTGAACCACCAGTAGTAGATACACAACTGTCCCATGAGCAGCTTTTTCTTAATTTTATTAGTAAGAGACTGATAAAGTGATTTAACCTATATGTACCACCATCAGCACAAGCTATCTGATGAGACAGTCATGGGCATAGCACTGATGGCCCAAGCTAGCAGGGATGTATTAATTCTGTGACAAGCATAGTAGTTAAATAGCCTTTTTATTTCTATTTTACAGATGTTTAAGCAGTATGGCTCAAAGAAGTAAAGTTACCTGTTCCTCCTGCCAAATTCAGTTTACCTCAGAGACAAATTAAAGCAAGTAAGTATATTCACACGTTGTGATAGCATAGTCCATTTACTTTTCATTAAAACTTTGTAGTAACCTGTTCTGCTAATTCTTAGTTAATGGACTAATAAACTCAGGTTTCAAGTAATTCCACAGTAATTAAAAGCATAAAGCATGAAAGCACTCAGATATAGAACTAAAGAAATGCATCATTCCAAGAATGAAAATACATCCTTACACGGAAACGTGACACAGTTTTCCCTCCCACAGTTAGGGCTGCCATTCTTCCATTATGGTTTTCCTTTGAAGTGTATTTCAAGACATGACAATCTTGTACCTAGAAAACAAACAAAACTAAGTATATGCCAAGATATACTTAAACATTACACACCAGCTGCACATTACCTTATTCCACCCAAATACAATCTTAATATATACAAAAGAACTTAAAAACTTGTCAAATATAGGGCAGGACACAGAAAATATAAACATACAACAAAATGAGTATTTATACAGATGATGCAACAGAGGTCAAAAAGAGGATCCCGAAAGCTTCTGTGTTTCCCTACCTAGTCTTCTCCTCATCTTTTAACACCGAAGTGGCAGATTTCCAAGGGTGGCCCCTAGACAGTCAATGGCATCTCCTTGGAAATTGGTAATAATGCAGCCCAAGAGGCCCCAGTCCAGACCAACTAGATCAGAATCTCTGCACTCTGGGTGATTCTGATGCTTGCTGAAGTTTAAAAAATACTGTCCTAGAAATAACTCTTGCCATTTAGGATAATTATTTCCTAGAATTGCTGTCTTTGAAAGTATTATTTAATAAAGCACTTAGTGTTGCCTACTTTACATGGTATGTATTCTTCTGTCTTCTTTTACTCAACACTGAATTTATAAGGTCATCTATATTGCCCTGTATTGCTCTATTCTGTCTATTTTCATTGCTATATAGCATTTCATCATATGACTATACAATCTATTCACCCATTCTATTGCTGCTGATGTTTACAGCAGTGCAATTTGTTATAGCTAAGTCTTGGGCATAATCCAACTGCCCATCAACTGAGGAATGAATAAAACAGATGTGGTATTTTTGCACAATGGAATATTACTCAGATATAAAAAGGATAAAATCAAGGCTTTTATAAGTAAATGGATACAACTAGAGACCATAGTACTAAGTGAAATAAATCAGACCTGCATGTACAAACATTGTATCATCTCGCTAGTATAAGAACCTAAAAGAGCAAATAAAATCTGCAAGGTACAATAGATATTGTGAAAGGGAGAAACTGTTCAAAGGCAAGGAGCAACTGGGATGAGAAAAGGATAAAAGAAACAAAGAAGGAGGGGAAAAATATATACAGGACAACTTGAATAATTATACTGCTGATTTCTGCTGGTCTACTGAAAACAGCAGTTAATGCTTGAATTTTTTTTCTAATTGCTTGCAACTTTTTTTTTTTTTAACCAATTTTGCAAGCTTCTATCAGGCAACTGAAACAACTAATTTGAGGACAACATTATGCAAGATAACAACCATTGGGGAATCTCTATTATTTTGTTTAGTGTAATTCTATATCGTTTCTCATGTTTTTTTTTTTTTTTTTTTTTTTTTTTATTTTCTTAAAAAAAAAAAAAAAGAGCAAAGTTGCTCTAAACAGTATTGTAAAGAAATCCTAATATATACCTGTTCAAATTGTATAACAGGAGGGGAATTGCAAGATTTGTCTATCTAAACTTTACCACATAATGTTAAAATCATTTGCTGAACTGGCTATACCAAGCTACATTTCTACAGGTCTTTCCTCAAAGCTCCCAATGATCTTCATAGTACTTGTAACCACTGTCTTATACTTGAAAACTCAAAGCCAATGGAAATTTGTGAATATGCAGGTTCTCTGTTCCTTGCTAACACTGAAAACATGCCTGAGCTCTCAATCATCACCATTAGCCTAATCACTTATCTAAGAGTAGAGCGCCAAAAGATAACTGAGCTGTCTGAAAGGATTTGGGGAGTGATGGTCCCCTAACTACCAAAGCTCGTTCTATAGTGATAAAGAAATCAACAGCTAAGATTTTCTGGACTTTAATAATCTGTGTCAAGGGCCTGACATTTATCATCTTGTGCAGTTGGCACAGTAACACTTCTGAGGTAAGTCATAATTACTTCTTTCACAAACTGAATTACATCTTTTATGGATGAGACACAATGCCCTAAAGAACACAATGAATAAGTGGCAGAACCAGCATATTAACTCAGACTTTTAAGTCCTCGGGCCCATATTCTGTTAGGTCCTAGGGCCCACATAAGTATACCTCATGTCAGAAAACAAAATGCAGCTTCTCTAGACGGGACTATTCTTACAGTCAGCAAAAGAGATGAAACTAAGATATTTTTTTCCTATAATAAAACTGGTAGACCCATGAAAAGTTAGGTTATACTTTTTAAAAAGTCCATTGTCCTGATTATTATAACATCAGGATCAGAAAGTTATGGCTCAGGAAAATTCAAAACATTATTTAAACCATCAGGAATAAGGTTTTTTAATACTGTCTGTATTTGACATTAGCCTTTCTTTTCCCCATACAGATATATGCTTCATGATACAAATATCAGTCACTGACGTCTGCACAAAAAGAATTGGCCACGCATACAGATCTCTTGCATACTGTGTCTTTCTTACCTGTAGTAATGTGACTGCATGCTTTTGGCCATCCTTGGTCCATAAAGGCATCATGCCCAACTTCAGGGCAATAAGGCCAACTCTAGAAGAACCTGCCAATTAAAACCAAAAAACATCAATAACAACAAAAAGCCTTTCAACATTTACAGCCACGATGCAATAGTCTTTCCTAAAATTAGGTTTCAATAAAAGGACCAGGAATATAAGAGATATGTTAAAATATTCAGGGTAAAACAAAGTTCTTCCTCATACATTTAAATGTCTTCAAGTATGCCTGGTATAATATAGTGGTGCTCAAGAACAATGATTGAGTACAAGAGCACTAAACAAAATAAAGAAAATAGATGAGTTTCTATATTCTAGCTTTTAAATAAAAAGTATTAGTACAGGGCATATAAATCCATCATCATGGTTTCCTAACATCAGTTTATGTCCAACACTACTAATTAGAAAATACCTATCACTCAAATTCTAAGAGGTCAGTTGGAGGGCTGAGGATACAGCTCAGCAGCACAGCACCTGCCTGGCAAGCTCAAGGTCCTGAGTTTGACCCCCAGTACCAGAAAAAAAAAGGACTTCATAGTCTTCATAGTCTAAGAAGTCAGCTGGACTACAGAGACGTCACAAATAGTCATATTGCTAAAATATGTCAGTTTCCATTTTGACACTGAATTGTTGCAAAAGCCAGGCCTGGTGGCACACATTTGTGATCCCACACTCAGGACGCTGAGGCAGGAGGATCACCATGAGCTGGAGACCAGCCTTGGTTACACAGTGAGCTCATGCCAGCCTGAACTACATAGCAAGACTCTGCCTCAAAGAAAAACAAAAAATGGGGGTGGGGAGATGGCTCAGTGGAATAAGCGCTTGAAGCGCAAGGGCCTGAGTTCAACCCACGGTTCTGCAAAAAAAAAAGAAAAACAAAAATGTGTTGCTTATATTGGCAAGGATGCCTCATTAAGAACTTTTAGCCACTATATAATTCAACTGTAACAGTAAACTCCAAGCAGAAACCACACACTCAACAGGAAAGGCCTTATTCTTATTGGTCTGGCCACATATGGGTTTAGTATCCCACCAGACACAAACAGTTGATTCTGAAGTTATGACTGGTAAACCAGGAGTACCAGAGCATCCCAACAGAAAAGCTCTGCACAACACATTACAATTAACACCACACTCTTCCAGCCTTTTTGGTTTTTTCCCCTAATTTTATCTTCCCCTTTTCTGAAAGAAGAGAATGTATACACAGTGATTTTGCTGTCTCCACAAAACAGCTTCAAGGAAGTCTTTCACCAACAGTGGATTAGGAGGCTGGAAATATACCTGCAAACCAAATTACAATGAGATACACGCTCAGGACATGAATATTAATTCAACACATGAAAATTTTATGATGCAATCCCTATGATTTTGATTGTCTCCAGCCACAAAATAAAGAAGAGATAAAATTCATCAATTAAAAAAAAAAATCACCTGGTTCCCAAGGGAGTATAGGCCATGGTTCATCTTTTAGAGGACACAGTTTACTTGCTAACTGGGCCTTATCTTCATCAGAGACCAACTGCTTAACAAACGAGGTATTCTCTTCAGAAAGATGCTCATCCCACCAACTTGGGCTCTTACCGTGGAGACTTCTAATAAAAAGCCAGATGTTTGTTCTGCAAAAATAAAAAGCTGAGTCACAATTCCCCTGTGTAATATATAGAGTGGTGGTCACATGTATTCCAAGTGTAGTAAGGACCTTAGGAAAGTTTTTGTGCACAAGTTCTTTCCCTGACACTGTTTATAACAAGAGACACATTTTAACTATGAATACTAGTTACCCTGAAAGAAGTATTTTCTCTCCTGGAATAAACAGATTCCTAACAAGAACAATAGTCCTACCTATATACATAAGAAGTCACTAAGTCACTAAGAATGTGCGTTTTAAGTTTTATATGGAGCAGAGGTGGCCATATGTGGCGCCTTAGGTTCAAGGCAAGAAACTGGGTGTGGAAAGTTGAAAGACCAACAGGAGACATTACCTCTGTCCAAGCTGAAGGAACACATCAAGAGAAACCCTAGTGGGTGAAGGTGGGGAGGTGTGTAATCTTTACATTGAAGGGGTCACAATAGAAATAGTCCTTGCAGTCCTCTTTCCACCTGCCTTCTGTACTCAGGCAGATCCAGGTTAAGTGTATTGATTTTCCTCTTAGTAGCTGAGTGACTTTGGACAAATTATTTCCCTTTTCAGATTGTTTTAACCACACGACAGTTTGCTCAGATGAAGCTACGTCATCTAAGGAACCAAGCAGACTGAACTACCCCTATACCACATGCCCACTCATTGGAAGATAACATTTTGTTAATGTCCTTGGCACACTGCCAGCCTCTAAGCATCTAAACAAAACAAAACAAAACAACTTCAATCCTGTCCCAAGTACTTTCCTGGCAAGCCTTATTGCTCTGTGCCTCACGCCTGAAGAATGCTCCTTCCTCCAGCCTCGGCGGGCCAGCCGGCGCCAAGGCAGCCCACCGCCCCAAGCCGCAGCGCTGCGGGCGGCGCAGTCCGACCCCTCCGCCCTACGCATACCCACCTACTCCCCACGCCGGGGGCAGCTCCCAGCCCGCCGCCGCCGCCCAACTGGGCGCCCGCCTGCGCCAGCAGCCTCCAACCTGGCATGGAGTAGCCGGGGGAGTTGTGGTCACGACACCTTTGGGCGCCCCGCCTCAGTGCTTTTAGCGCGTCCTCAACTCAAGGACCACAAGTTCGTCTTGACCCTTGGGAAAGTGTCGCATCCCAGGTCCGCCAATTTCCTCCCGACGGAAATAGAGTCGCCGGAACCACTTCCTGTGCAGTCTCCAGTAAGTTCCGGCCACCCGGATCAACCGGTAAAACTAAAGTTCCGCTGCTGAACAGACCTACTTTTGAGTCTGGAATAGAGGAAGGAGGAATGAATGTAGTTTAGAAGAATGAGACAAATTAAAACTTTCTGAGAAAGCTAAGGAAACAGGGGCCAGCCAAATAGCGCAGGGGCCAGGGATTCACTACGAGTCCGATATAGTAGTGAAACCTGAACACCCTGTATATCCATCCCTAAAATACAGAGAAAAGAAAAAAAAGGAACGAAGACTAACTTCTAATAGTGCCCTCTGATCAGCAACTCACTGTGCGAAGCAGTGCTGTGATAATAATATTGGTTAAACTGAAAACAGCCCAGAAAGGAAGTTGTTACTTTTGCATTACAAATGAGGGAACATAGACTTACAGTTTAGGTGCAGGTGTAAAATAACACATTTGGCAGATGAGCATAGTGGACGTTGAAATAGGGCTAGTAGGTTTTAATCATAGACCATGGTCAAAGGAATGATATGTGCCATTTAGGACTGAATTATAAAACTTTATTCTTTCTGGATTGCTCTTCTGGGTTTCTCCCCCTGGGGAAATCTCAGTGTTGGGTCCTGCAGATACTCAGAGACCAGAAGTGAGGCACATAGAAAGAGAAAGCAAATTGCCAGCCAGGAGTGAGCCGCAAGAACTGGGGTTGACCAGCCCCAGGAAACCCTTCAGATAGCTGCAACTGACCATCAGTTCAAGATAGACCTTGAGCCTAAGCCATCTAGCCAAGTGACTCATAGATTATTTACCAGATACAATTGCTAGAGAAAAATAAATGATTGGTGTTGTTCCCATAAAGTTTTTTTTTGTTGTTATTTATAAAGCACCAATACAGAACTGAAATATCTTCTGTATAAACAAACCCCTCTCCTATGTTTCAGATTGGGCCTAATTACTATATATGTGTCTTGAATATTCTTTTACTGTTTCAAAATTCCATTTATTTATTACGTGACAGTAGAAACGGGGGAATAAAAAAGTTTATCTTTTCTATCTTCCTTTTATCAGAGATCTGGGCAGCCTGACTTACAAATCCAAGCATAGGTCAATTTCTACATACCACTTGAACCTCAGTAGACTCAAAATGTTTATTATTTGCTTGACCTTCCATTCCAATGGTTCTTGTTGCAGTTACTTGGACGTTTCTCAATAATACTTTGGACCTTGGAAGAAAAAGTATATTTCTTCATCTTAGCTGAGCTGTTTGCCTTCACAGCTAATTAAGAACTATTCTTAATGGAACTAATATGTCTTCAAAATGTGCTACATACAAGAAGCTGAGAATACAAAGACTTCCGTACTGCTGATCATAGCTACCATTTATTGTGCATAGAGGAAGCTGTCAGAATTATAATAGCATAACAACCGAAGACTGCCAGAACAGTTAAACTCATGCAAAGTTAAGTTTGATACAACAAGAAAGAATGTATATTTGGGGGTATCACCACACTAGGAAGTTGAGAGGAACTTCTTATAAAACTTGGACTGAGAGGATTTTAAAGTACAATCAGGGAAACAAAGATTAGGTCTGTAATGAAGGTTTTTAAGAAACAGTTCAACAAGTAGATATCTTCTGAGGATGGTATTCAAAAGAAAGCAATAATTTCTTAGAAGAAAAATTGTTAGTCATTTCATAGCAGTGAGGTGGCCTACATTATAGTCTATTAAAATTAGCTGTTGATAGTCTGTTATAAATGTTGCACTCTAGGTGCTAACTAGATTCATTTTCACCTCAGAATATTTTATCACTTGATTTTTATAATAACCTCCATTTTATAGTAGAGAAAGTATGCATGGATACATGATATAATTTAAATAATGACATCAGTTAGTAAGTGATAGAGCCAAGCTTAAAATTTGGGTAGCATGAATGTGGAGCTTGTGCTCTTAGAAGTTTTGTTTGTCTTTTTCTTTACCGCAAATGTTTTACTGCCCTTGCCTTGGAACTAGTCTAGGGGTAGAGAGGAAATACCGATAAGCAAATGCATCACACAAAATGGTTCTTGAGGATTGATGAGCAGGCATTCAGTGTAACCTTTGATTTTAGTGCCAGAACTCTCCTGGTCCAAATTAGAGACTATGAGTCAGCGAAACCCACAGCAGGTGCCACTGCTGAAGTGAATCAGAGCATGACATGATTTGTTTGGTGATATGAAACACGTGTGTCCTCTTTGTACCTGGGGCTATGAAGTGTCATAATATTTGATTTAGTCACTACAATGTGCTGCTATTTGACAGACAATAGATCCAGTTCCTGAGGTACCCAGCCTCAGTGTCCCTAGAGCACCCCAAGCATTGATCTTGAGCTTCCCATCATTTCTGCTGTCATTCTTCAGAAACTGCCTTTTGTGCTGGAACCACTTGGTTGCTCTAGAGCTTCAGTTGCTCATTGGAACAGAGATAGCATCCATGATTTCTTTTCAGTGCTACAATTATAAAATTCTTACTTTATTAAATCAGATCAGAAGCTGATATAATAAACCTATTTATTAAATTAAGTATAACATTACTCTCAGTTCTCAATTACTAAACCCATATCCAACAAAAGACAGTTGGTTTCAAAATAGTAGGTATCAAACCAAGAGCTTATTGAAAATATTTTTAATATGTGCCTGAAATTTGTTTTTAATATTAATTCTTACAGTGTTTGTGATACATCCTAGATAGCTAGCTTATTACAGAGTAGAAAAATGTTCACTATTGGGAAAATTACATTTATGCTGTTTTGTATTTTGTAATACACCTTATACTTGAAATTAAATTTTTTAAAGTGAATTTAGACTTTTATTAAATTATCTTTGGCTTTCTTCCATTTTTTTTTTCTGAGTTGTGTGAATTTGCATGTCTAAGAATTGTTAGCCAGGCACGGTGGTGCACACCTGAAATCCCAACCCTTGGAAGGCTGAAGAAGGAGGATCGCTGTGAATTTGAGGCCAGCCTGGGCTACATAGTGAGTTCAAGGCCAGTCGGAACTGCACAGTGAGACCCTGTCTCAAGAAACTGATAAAGATATCATAAAGGTAAGTGCACATCTGGTGGTAGCATAGATAAAATTTGATTTAAAGAACTTTAAACTTTTAGATTTCACTAACAGTTAAAATAGAAAGTCTAAGCAGTCCAATCTATACAATCCACAAATGCTTATCACTAAAATTTTTTTTCTCTCAATTTTCTCCAGCAAGAGCAAATCACAGTTTGAAATTTTAATATAACATTTTTAACAGTACAATTATTACTTGTAAATTTCTAGATCAGTCTTCAAACTTTGGGTTTTCAAGATGTTGCTGGAATGGAAATACATTTGGCTTCTAGAAAGGAAGGAAGGAAAGGGAGGGAGGGAAAGAAGGAAGGAAGGAAAGAAAGCAATGTGACCATATCATAATGTGGGTTTAAAATTTCTCAGCATTCCAATCTGCTCTTGTATCCAAAATGGTGCTGAAATAATGTAATTATAGCAATGTGCATTTCTTTGATATTCCTAATTACAAAACATGCATCTTAGCACAAGCAGTAAAGCATCACTTGCCAGAGGACCAAATGCTTTCAGTCTAGGACCTCTCCCTGGTCTGGTCATTTTCATGATGCCAGTGAAGTGTTGACTTCTTAAGAATGGCTATGGGGGGCGAGGGTTGGAACTGCAAGATGGCTCAGTGGACTAAAGTTCCTGTTTAGGCAAGTGCAGGAATCGTGATTTGATCCCTGGCACTACAAGAGGCACCACAAGCCACGGCAGCCCCATGTGCTGAGCCAGCCAGAGTCCAGGGCATAGTGGCTCATGCCTGCAATCCCAGAGCTGGAGAGACTGAAAGTGGGAGAATCACCATAAGTCTGAGCTACATAGTGAGGCCCTGCAAGCACCACATGCAAAATAGGAAGGAAGGAAGGAAGGAAGGAAGGAAGGAAGGAAGGAAAGAAGGAAGGAAGGAAGGAAGGAAGGA